AGTTTAGAAATGGACTTGATATGTTAAAAAAAATACCTTGCTATGCCTATAGTGTGTAGTGGATTTTTTTTTTTATCACAAATGAATTTTGTGTTTTGTCAAAGGCATTTTCTACATTTTTTGATATAACCATTTGGTTTAAGCCTTTTTGTTTTTAATATAATTAATTATAGGAATTATTTTCCTTAGGCTAAACTATCCTGGCATCCCTGATGTAAATTCAACTAGTTCATGGAACATCATTTTTGTTGTTAATAAACTTATTGTTAGGATTTTGTTTAATTTTTTGCCTTAATATTAGTCTATGGTTCTCTTTGTTTTTACTTTGGTTTTGTCATTAGACTATATTTGTCTCATAAAACTAGTTTGGTGGCATGTTTTCTTTCTCAATTTTTGAGAATAATTTGTGTAGCATTAGTAATAGTCACTCTTTTGATCCAATTCATTTGATCAGATTCACTTGTAAATCTATCTAGACTGTGGTTTGGTTTTTTTCCTGTTACTTCATGAATTCACTCAGTTTTGTTTTCTGAGTCTTTACCAATTTAAGTGAACTTTCTCCATGTTGCAATGATAGAAATTTCCTAATGTTTTGAGAAGTATTTGGACATGACACTTTCTGATTTGGTGTCAAAACACCAAGGAAGATCTCTAGGGCCCAAGATGATGGCCATCAAATATGCATGATTCTGTTCCTATCTCCTCGTCATAGGGACCTAGAGTAGTGTGATAGGAAAAACACACTGAGTTTGAAGTCAGAGGATGTGGGGTCCAGTGCTGATTTTGATTCTTTCTACCTATATGTTTTGGGGCAAATCATTTACACGTGTTCTGCCTCCATTTCCTCAGCATCAGACTGAGGAAATTGAACTAGAATTAGGGGCTCTCAACCTGGACTTTGTGAACTTGTTTTAAAAAATGTTTTAGGACTATAGAAATATAGGTACACTAATGCATTGTGGTAGAGCTGTGAACTAATAACGCCATTCTGGAAGACAATTTGGAACTATACCTAAATACTAATTAAGCTGTGCATATCCTTTGATTCAGAAATACTGTTTCTGTACCTCAAAGAGATCAAAGAAAGAGGAAGGGACCTGTACATACCAAAATATTTATAGCAGCTCTTTTTGTTGTTGCAAAGAATTGGAAACTGAGGACTTCTACATCAATAGAAGAATGGTTGAATAAGTTATTGTATATGAATATGATGAGGTCCTATTGTGCTATAAGAAATGATGAACGTTTCAGAAATGATGGTTTCAGAAAGACCTGAGAAGACATATATGAACTGATGCGAGGTAAAGTGAGCAGAACCAGGAAAATTATTGTTACGTAATAACAGCAATGTGGTAAAAAATAATTAACTATGAAAGACTTAATAACTCTAATTAACACAGTAATCAACACCATAGTTCCAAAGGACTCATAATGAAAAATGTTGTCCACTTCCAGATAGACAACTGATAAATTCAGAGTATAGATTGAAGCACACTTTTTTCTCTTCTTTTCTTATTCTTGTTTCTTACTCCCTACCCCCACCCCAGAACATAGCTAATTCAGAAATTTGTTTTGCATGATTTCATATTTGTAGTAGGTTTTGTCTTTTTTGCCTTCTCAGTGTGTGGGAGAGAGGTTAAGGGAGAAAGAGAATCTGGAACTGAAAAAAAATGGATTTTTTTTAAAAAGGAAAAAATAAAATAAAAATATTTTGGCTGGGCATGGTGGCATTTCAGTTCTTGAGTTCTGAGCTACAGCAGAGCTAAAGTTGATCAGGTTTCCTCACTAAGTCAGCACCAATATGGTGAGCCCTGGGAGAGTGGCACCCACCAATCTGCCTAAGGAGGGATCTATTGGCCCAAGTAGCAAACAAAAACAGAGTGGGTCAAAATTTCCTTGCTGATCAGCAGTGGGATTGTGCAGAAGATGGCTGCTTCTCTTCTAGCCTGAGCAAGATAGGGAAACCCAATCTCAAATACATATATATATATATATACACACACACATATATATGTACATATATGCATACATACATACTTAACTATATTTTATTATAATTGGTTTCCTTTATAATTCTATCTGTTTTATCCATTTAAAAATTTTGTTCTGGAAAGGATCCATAGGGTTTGCTAGACTCACCAAAAGAGTCCACGACATGCAAAAAAAGGTTTAAGAACCCCTGGAGATGATCACTAAAATCCTTTCTAGCTCTAAATCTATGATTCCATGATCCCCTTTGCCAAAATAACTAAAATGGTTGTGAATACTTAGGACTCATTTAGCACTTTTAAATTGTTCAAAGCCTTACACAAATCTCAGTTTCCTTTATTTCTATAACACCCTTGTGGGAGTAGTAGAATGCGAATTATTATCTCTAATAAATGAGCAAACTGAGGCTCAAAAAGGTGATCTGCTCAAGGTGATATAGCGAATCATGGCAGCTGGGAAAATAATCCACATCTTCTGATGCTCGTGGGTCTTTTTAGTCAGAGGACAATGCATTATTGGCTCCATTGAAAAGTCAATGCTGGTAAATACACAATCTTAGAATGTCAGAGCTAGAAGGAACCAAAGAGCCAATCTAATACAATCTTCCTTATTTAAAAATTTTTTTCTCGAAAGTATATATAGTGTCAGCAAAAACATTCAAATAAAGTTTTAAGTGATTACAAAATAATTGCAAAACTATTCTGTTTGCATCCATGTCCCTTTCTGATCTCTTTTATTTCTATGTATTTTTTTAGAATTTTGTTGCTACTGTTATTTTTTCATATTGCTGTAGTCAGTTTCAATATCGTTGTCTGGATTCTGCTTTCTCCATTATGTATAACTCACTATATTTCTTTACATTCTTCAGGGGTTTTTTTTCTTATGGTAAAAATGGCATTCTATTAGTTTTGTATGTTTGGTCATTCCCCAAACGTTGAATAAGTGCTCATCTCCTCTTATTTAACTGATGGAGAAACTAAGACTTCCAGAGAAGAGGAGCTCATTCATCCAAAGTCACCCAGCTAGACAGATAGTGGCAGATCTGGGACTAAAAACTAGTAGATCTCTTCTCTCTTAATCTGACTTACATCTACACCTCCTGAGCTCCCCCAACTCTCAGGAACAAGGATGGAAATTGTCTAGTTTTGGTTGTTGTAGGAAGTGAGAATTTGGGAAATTTTAAGGCCCATTCATCTGATCAACAGTCTCTGTGGAATGAGAAGCAGGTTCTGTGTTTCCAAATGACTGGCTGACACTTTCTCCCCACCGTGGGAATTAAATTCCCAGAATGTTTCTCCATGGTTCTGGGCTTTGAGGTCACTAATCTTACCTTCAGGATTCTTTAGGATTCCCCTGGTTCACTTAGGGGCTAGCCTTCTGGCTTAAGGCCACATTGGTCCCTCGATATTTGAGATCTCGTTGAAGATTCCTGACTGAGCGAAAATACTGATTCTTCGCCTGGAAGCCTCTCTCTCATGCCTTCTGCTAATAAACAAGGGGATTTCCAGCAGTTTTACTTTCAGTTTGGCTAAGTCAGCATGTCCCTAAGAAAGCCAATGCGGCCTGGGCTTAGAAAAAGGTGAGGGTGTGGGTAATGAGAGCTCAGAGCATTTGGAGGGCACTTGGTAGGCTGACTGTTTGGAGGCCCAGGTGAGAAAGACTCTGTTTACTCTCAGCTCCAGCTCACCATTTGGTGAGTGTGATGTGCCTTCTTGGTGGCGTGCCTTCCGAGAGTGAGTACCCATTACATCAAGGCGAGAAAGACCTATCAAAGCCAACTCACCTGTAGGGTTTGCATTTCTTGCTGGGAAAAGTGTGGTGGGGAGAGGGCACAGTTGGTACTGGGTTGCGAAGTTACTAAGGTGAAGGGGCCCCTTGTGTTTTTCTGAAGCTATTTCCGGGTTCTGAGGAAGCCATCAAAAGTTCTCATTTAATCATGGCTGGCAGGGCTCCAATGCCCATGTTTACCTGCTAAGGCTCCACTGGACCTCATTTATTGGCACATTGGCTTTAGGTCCCCCTCTTCCATCTTCTGTCTTCTACTTCCTTTCCCTTTGCCTAAGATGTCCTACTTGCCACAGCCTCAGGGGCTTCTGTGAATTTTATCTGAAATTTTCCAAGGTGAGTGTCCACACTTGGGGAGCTAGGGCAAAATAATTGAATAAGCTTTCATTGTTATTATTGGGGTTTTTTCTTTCATGAGGTCTGGGGACCATAGGAAAGAGGGCTACATTATAATGCCAGAAGCAAAAGATCAGAAATGTGAGAAAGGCTTCATAAGGGATCTTGTGAACATAAGCTGCCATTATTTACTATATTACGCCATTGTGGAAGGGTGGGGTGCTGTTGGTGACCAGTGAGAGCCATTTAATTGGCTGCTGCCCCAGGGCTGGCCACTTCCAGTGGAACCTTGGGAAGCCACGGCTGCACCTTTAAGTACTTCAAGTTATGATTAGAATGAGAAATGTTGGTTCTTTAAGGGGAGTAGGTATACCTAAGATGATGGCCCTAGGGGAGAATTCAGTTGGAATTCTAGGATTTGGGCAGAGACACCACTGGTATGAAGAAAGCTGATCTCTTTGAAAGTGGTATATTGAATTTATATATGCTTAAAAAGAAAAGCAAGCTTTGTGTATTAGTTTCATGTACAATTCTCTTCTGAGATACCATGTATATAGAAATGCTCACTTTATTTGGTGTTGGTTAAAATCACAATTTTAAAAAGCTGATGGATTGAAATCTTATAAAAGAAGAGACCCAGAAGCCTGAATTATCTCCAGAGAAGAAGGCTGGAGCGTAAGATTGGGACAGAGCACCATGGTCCCTTGAGTCAGAGGCCACACAGCTGAGCAATGGGGGTTCATGCCACAGCTGCTCCCATCCCCCACCATGAAGAGGGCCCATTGAGGAGGGCCCATTGAGGAGGTCCCTCTGCTAGGTCACCACTGTCATCATCACTGTCCTGGGCTGGGAGTTCCCTAGAGTTGGCACTCACTTTATCTCCTCTTCAGGTCTTCGGAGGAAGAAAGTATTGCACCATTGTGGGAGATAAAAGAGGTAAGGGAGAGAAGTTCAGTTACAGTCCTAAAGGCATTTGGGATAAACCAAACACTGTCCTATTTCACAGCTTAGGAACAGATTAGATGACCCCATAACCCGTAACCCCAATAGCTCAGGTAGGGCACAGAGACCCACACAAGGAAAGACCCCTTCACAAAGTGATTCTGGCATTGGTAGATAGAAGTAGAACAGAAGAGGAAGCTTTGAAAAATATTCTTGGGAGGAACTGAGAATTTAAAGTAAATAACTTAATCTCCCTAAAGAGATAGACTTGAACGTCAGTTCTAGTCCAGCATTTGTTGTTCACTCACATCTGACCTTGGAAAAATCACTTTCCTTCTCTGTGTCTCAGTTTCTTCCTCTGTAAATGAAGATGTTGGACTAGATGACCATGCTTCCAGCTGTGGTATTCTGTGGTGCTGCATTTGTCTCTGTGTGTGAAGGGGCTGGGAAATGCTCGATATTTATTTTTGGTTCGTCCAGTCCCTCCTTCGACTGCTAAGCTAATCACAAGCTGCGCTCTTGAGGAACAGCTTCTTGGGTGAGCGGGGAAACTCTAAAGGTGGGGGAGGGAATAGATTGGAGGACAATTCTAGGGCTCAGCCCTTTGGGTGGGGAGAGGAGAGGACTCTGGAACGTGCTACCTCCCAACCTTCACCCAGGAGTAGCCTTAATTGTTGCTGTTGAGTCATTTCAGTTATGTCCAACTCTCTGGGACCCCGTTTTCTTGGCAAAGATATCAGTGTAGTTTGCCATTTCCTTCTCCAGTTCATTTTTACAGATGAGGAAACTGAGACAAACAGGGTTAAGCGACTTGCCCAAGGTCACATAGCTACTAAGTGTCTAAGGCTGGAAGCTTTAACTTCTATCAAAGTACAGCCTTCCTCGGATCATAGGATTACCCACTTAGAACTGGAAGGGCCCCTCAGATATTCTCTGGTTCAACCTTCTCATTTTATAGATGAAAAAGCAGCCACACAAGCCACTTTGTAATTTATTGTGTTTACTTGTATATATGTTGCATCACCCTCCAGTAGAATATGAGTTTGCTGAGGGCAGGGGCAAGTTTGGGTTTGCATTACCTGGGACTGGCACAATGCCTTGCACACAGTATTGAATTGAGGTGAATTGTATTGAATTGATTTCTTCTTAACCAGCCTCGCTAGACTCTCCTAGGATCCCTCACTCCCTTCCTTTCTGTTGAAACTTAGGTTAAAGGGTACCACAGTATGGTCTCATGGAGACAGCATGAGACTAGGAGACAAGAGGCCTGCATCCCAGTCCAAGTTTTGTCACAAATACTCTAGATGACCTTAGATAAGTCAATGCCCCCTTCAGAGCTTCAATTCCCCATTTGTATAAGGAGAATGATAAGACCTGCCCAATTTTCATCAATTCATTATAATGACCTAATCAAAGAGAAAATATTTTGAAGGGTTCAGACCTCTTTACACATGGAGGAGTTTATCTCTGAGAGGATCCTCAACCAGGTAATTGAATGGATGCCTACAGCAACCAGAGCAGAAACAGAGGGTGTACCTTTGGGGAGAAGATGTCTATAGTGGGGCAATGAAAGAAAGACACAACAAAAGGGCAGGTCTTTCCCTTGTCTGTTTCCCACATCAGGAAAAGATTTGCCTTATTGGGAAAGGATCAGAGAAAAGAGACTTATCCCTCCAGGGCAAAAGTTTCCAAACTTTTTTGATTGAATACCCCCATTGTTAAATAATTTTCTTACTTTTTGATTATTTCCCTTAATGTTCTAGATATTTTATCCCTCCAAATGAATTTCATTTTTATTTTGCCTTGTTTTGTAAAGCATCCTCTTTGTAATTTGATTGGTATATGTAAATTAGCTTAGGAAGTATTGTCATTTTTATTAAATTTGTGTAACCCAGCCATGAGCACTATTATTTAAGTTGTTCTTTATTTCTTTAAAGAATGTTTTGTATTTGTGTCTGTTGCAGGTTTTGAGTGTACCTTGGTAGAGTGATTTCCCAGATATTTTGTCCATTTTGTAGTTGTTTTTTAATGTGACTTCCTCTTCAGTTATTTCCACCTGCATTTAAAAAATTACTACGTAGAAATCCTGTAAGTTGGGGGAAGGTATTATTTATATTCTGCTACTTTGCTAAACCTACTCTTTCCCTCAGTTTCTTTGCTAATTCTCTTGGATTTTGTAAGAAAATCTTGTCATGGACAAATAGGGATGGTTTTACTTCCTCTTTGTATTTCTTTATACAATTAGTTTCTTTCTCCCGTCTTATTGCTATTGGTGGTATGTCTAGAACTATGGCTTTCCAAATAACAATAGTGACAGTGAGTATCCTTACTTTATTCCCGTATTTATTGGGAAAGCTTCCAGTGTATAGAATGTTCACTTTTGGCTTAAATTTATGCTTTTTAATCCCATATAACATGTTTATGCTTTGTCCTCTTTCTCAGAGACAAGCTTGTTACCTTGCCCCTCTGGATTCCAACAGGTAATCCTGAGGGTTTGGGGTGTTTCTTCTCCACTGCCATTAGCTTAAGCCCCTAGTTGCTCTGTTTCTCCCATTGTTAGGGGGCCAGTTTCTAGCGTCTTGGTTCCATTTAGTTACTTAACAATAGGTAGTTTTTACAAAGTGATATTTACTTTAGAGATATAGCATAAATAAATGTACAGTCATTTCCCCCAATACCTCCAAGACATATTTTCCACTCTACTACTATGGTCTCTGGGGGAAGTATTTTCAAAATTTAGCTCAAGTCCTACACAGAATGGATTCCACCAAGCTCATTTCCAAAGTTGTTATTGCTACTGGATCCAGAAGGTCATTCTTTGTTGCTCAGGCCATCACTTGTAGGCTGACTTGTAACACTTAGCCTGAAGCACCAGGATGCCAGAGTAAACTCACAATAACCTCTCAAATTCCCTAGCTTGTGAGGTGCCCATCCCTTATACCTAGAACAAATGAAGAAGGCAGGAATGGAGACCTATTTCTTAGAGTCATATGACCTCAGAGGGGAAGAAGGCCCTAAGGACTTTCCCCTTACCACAGTGTCTCAGCAAATGCCATGAGAGAGTCACACAGCTCATTCATTTATGGAGTAAATGAAGCAAAGAGATGATAGAAACTAAGTTGGGCTTTTTTGATGACTCTAACAGTTTTAGTTATTCAGCCAATCAATAGACTCCTCTCAGCTTCTTCCGTATAGAAAGGCTGAATCAACCAAGTAAACTGATGAGGTATGCACATATGCCAGATCTGCAAGACACATGCCTTATTTTTTTTTAATGGTTTCATGTTTGTTTATCTTTTTCTGTACTTTTTTTATTAATTTATTTTAATTTATCAACAATCACCTCCATAAGCTTTTGAGTTTTAAATCTTTCTCCCCCTCTCTTCCTCCCTCCCTCCCTCCCCAAGATGGCATGCAATCTAATATAGGTTATACATATACATCCCTATTAAACATATTTTCGCATTAGTGATGTTGTAAGTAAGAATTAGAGCTAATAGGAGGAACCACCAGAAAGAGGAAACAAAACACAACAGAAGAAAAAAATAGCAAATAGTATACTTCAATCTGCATTCAAACTCCATAGTTCTTTCTTTGGATATGGATAGCATTTTCCATCATGAAGCTTTTGGAGATGTCTTAGATCCTTGTGTTGCTGAGAGGGGTTAATTCTATCAAAGTCAATCATCACTCAGTGTGGCTATTATTGTGTACAACATTCTCCTGGTTCTGCTCACTTCACTCAGCATCAGACCATACAAGTCTTTCCAGGTTTATCTGAAGTCTGCCTGTTCATCATTTCTTATAGCACAATAGTATTCCATTACAAGGACACAGACTTTAAAAAAAAAAAGGCTTCTAATTACATAGGATTCAATAAAGATAGACTGTTTACTTTTTATATGAGGAAATGCAAAACATATATCTAAGATTGTTATTAGTAATTAGGTAGTTCAAAAGAAAGATTGGGGCAGACCTGAGTATGATATGATTCTAAAAAGTAAAACTGTTTAGGAAAAGAGATTAAAAGAGTAATTATACAAATGAGGTGTGAGGGGAAGAGCTGACACAGAGGAATTAGATGGGGGAGGAGGGCTGGTAGAATGGGTTAAAAAGGGAACAATACATATATATCTAGAAGGCATAAAAGTCTTCTAAATTCAGAAAGAAATAAAAGGCTAAAGGGATAGGGAGAGGGGGAGAGGATAAGAGAGGGATTTTTAAAGAGGAAAGTAAGGGAATAAGATAGGGACTATAGAAGAGTGTTTAGATTAATGGAAATGGGAAGATAAGGGAAGGATCCTTGCGGGGGGGGTAGGTTAAGTAATAGGAGGGCAGGGGGCAGCTAGGTGGCACAGTGCATATAGCACTAGCCCTGGAGTCAGGAGGACCCGAGTTCACATTTGGCCTCAGAAACATAGCACTTACTAGCTGTGTGATTCTGGGCAAGTCACTTAGCCCCAATTGCCTAAAAATAAAATATTTTTTTTTAAATAGGAGGGCAAGGTAGAAGGTAGAAGTAAAGTAGAGGAGTCAGGAGGGATAGGAAATAAGAGATACATACAAACACAAAATAAAGATTAGGAGTAGAATTTATTAGGGAAAAAAAGCAAGGGAGTAATCATAATCTCAGACAAAGTTAAAGCTAAAATAGATTTAATTAAAAGAGAAAAACAGAGAAACTACATTATATGTCAGCCATATTAATCAATATTGTCTTAGACTATTTAAAATAACTAGACAGTTTAAGGTTGGAATATTGTTGTGGTGTAGGAAATGATGAGTTGGTGGATTTAGAAAAATGTGGAAAGACTTGAACTTATGAAAGAAGCTCTTGTCCACCTTCAGAGATACAGAACACAAACAAGTATAGTACGGTCTTACATTGATGCACATGAATGTATATGTGTATATATGTGTATGATTATAGATGTCTATGTACATGTAAGTATATGTATATATGTGTATATATATAGTATATATATATATATATA